AGGTTTCTTTCCGTACTTTAACTGCAGTTAACTAGTGACTATGGAACATGTAACTGTCTTTTTTATTATTTTTTTATGACAATGAATGACGGAACGAAGAAGGTGTGAGCCTAGTGTCAAGACTCACGCCTACCCATAGCAGTTGCAGTGCCACTTAGAGCTTTAAATCGTAAAGATCTGAGAGGCAGTCAACCAGAGACATAAGTTGACAAGTACCGTGTGCTTGTAATTTTGCCAGCACCCTTAACCTTCTAAACCGAAACGTAGTAATGCTCACATTACTGCTCAACGGGAGAAATAGGTAAGGTGGCAGTACTTCCCTGGACGAGCTCTTTCATAAGGAACTCTACTTTTTTGTGGCATTTTCCACAAAAAATCTCCAAATTATATATCAGTTGTAAAAAATTCACCATTTTTCTGCAGATAACGTACACACTCAACATAGCCCCGCACTAGGGAAACCCTGTGTCGCGGGTGCCATGGACACACACGTAGACAACCACAAATTACACCCAAACTCACGAGAGAAATAAATGTAGGCCATACAAATATTTCTCCCGACCCGGGAATCGAACCTGGGACCTCTGCATGGCAGTCCGGCATGGTAACCGTTCGGCCACGGAGGCAGTTAAGTAAATTAAAGATAATCTTTTATTAAGTTTATAGCTTTTTTATAGAAAAGGTAGTGATTTTCTTGCCATAGTAATACAACCTAAAGAGTTTTGTGGCATTTTCCACAAAAAATCTCCAAATTATATACCAGTTGTAAGAAATTCACCATTTTTTTGCAGATAAATCTTTTCTTAAGTTTATAGCTTTTTTATAGAAAAGGTAGTGATTTTCTTGCCATAGTAATACAACCTAAAGACTTTTTGTGACATTTTCCCCAAAAAATCTATAAATTATGTACCAGTTGTAAGAAATTCACTATCTTTCTGCAGATAAAACTCTTATTAAGTTTTTTTGTTATTGAGTTTAACGTGCAGAAAGATAGTGATTTTCTTACCATAGCTATACAAACTAAAGACTTTTTGTGGAAAATGTCACTTATGTGGTTTTACTGGGTTTTACCTTCATCATGTATAAATAAAAACAATTCCATTATTAGCAATAAGGTTCAAAAGTATTTTTTTTTCGAATCGTCTTTTCTCAATTCTATCATATTTGAGTTACGACAATATTTGATCCATGTGTGATAAGATGAATTAAAAAAGTTTCTATTCTACACTGGAATAACACTAATTGCCTCTAAGCACACTGTACTGCTTAAAACTGATACCAATGAATTGTAAACTTTATCGCCCTTCTTGAAAGGGCATAAACGTCATTAAAACCCGTTCAGATTCAATATCTCAAATAATTATCGTAAAAGTCGTCTTTCGGCAAAGCCAGCGGGCTTATCCTAAAAAGCAGCTCGTCTAATTGTACTGAGTCATAAAGCACTACACCTATAAAGGCTAAGCGGTTGGATTCAAAATAATGTGTTTTACATTTTCGCAGCGACGGTATCTGCAACATAAAACGGCATGTAATTTATTCTATTGCTGAAAGGGTCGCTCGGGGTGGGAATTACCCAAGGTGGGTGCTAAAGGGTTAAGCCGTATATACGGGGTGCGCCGACAAACTTCGTTAATTTATGCGCTTAAAAATGTCAACTGGAAATTATGACGCCGTAACACATTTCCTATTTTTGTACAAACCCTTTGATAGTATCATTAGATGCGTATTTATGACTTCCTTAACGTATTTTTTAAAATATTTTTCGCACTCTTGGCATAATAAGATCACATCTGTAAAATGATAACTTTTCAACAGAGAATCTTAAACGAACGAAACTTGGCGACAACTTTAGGTGAGTAAGTACGCCTTCAAACTGGACACTTGTAATATTTCATAGTTCATTTATTCATGTGGATTAACAGAGGTGTTACATAATAGTATTCCAGCACATAAACCCTGTGAGGGCACTAAAATGACATAACTTAAGTATTAATCTCCTACACACGCTATGTCATTAATGATTACAATTATGACATATAAATTTACATTAAAAAGAACATGAATATAGTGAAGTCAAGCAGATACAATTTAATTTATCATTCAATTAATTAATTAATGGCCAAATTGGATAAAGTAATGTTTGAAGACAAGAAAAGACTACGACAAAAAATTAATATTCCTAACATATTTTCGTGAATTATGATGTTATTATGTCAAAAACGTGACAAAAATTAAGTGAAGATAAATGTCAAAAGCAGTCCATTATTATTAAAATAATGTCAATAATTATCAAAATATAAAACCTACAGATGTCATGTAACGAAAGAATCATTAAAGAGATTTATTATTATTATTTATGCAGTTATTGTTATCATTCAAATATTCAGTAATTGAAATTGCCTCTGTGGCCGAGTTACCATGCTGGACTGCCATACAGAGGTCCAGGTCCAGGTCCAGGTTCGATTCCCGGCCGGCAGAAATATTTGTATGGCCTACATTTATTTCTCTCGTGAGTTTGGGTGTAATTTGTGGTTGTTTATGTATGTGTCCATAGAAACCGCGACACAGGATTTCCCTAGTGCGTGGCTATGGTGAGTGTGTGCGTTATTATTATTAATTGCATAAGTTATTTATAAATGATGTCATATTTTGTTCGGGTTCGATACTTTAGAAGAGCGGCTGCGGCGCCGCAGACGCGTCAAACATGCGCCACTGCAGCACTGCTACACAAGCACCGACAATCTACAAGCATCTACGCTTCTGCAATTTGAAGGCGCCCTTATAAAATTTAATATATTCATAATTTTATTTCATGTAGATCGTATTACTTTTATAACTTTGACATCATAAAATCACTTTTGATGTATAATCACATGTGGCTATATTATACGGGTACGAGTTATTAACCGATTTAAAAAAATGAGGAGGTTGATAAACTCGACTGTATTTTTTTTTGTGTACATGTGTCGCGATTACGCGATTTTGATGATTCTTTTTTTGTTGGAAAGAAGGATCACCATTCGAGAGAAAAACTTAACACCTCGATGCAGAAATTAAGTAAAAAGGTCAATGCCATCTAGCGGATTTTTAGAGAACTATCTGACAAACAAAGTTGATTAGTAAAATCATAATGAAAAATAGGTATGTTTAATTTTTAGATTAATTTACATTATTACTATTATTATTAAATTGTTATAGAAATAAATAGAGATGACGGCTGATAGATATAATGGAAGAAAAATACATGTTGTGCCGACCCCACCTAGCGTGGGATAAGGACAGGAAGAAGAAGAAGAGAAGAAATAAATAGAGATCCTAGCAAATCCGCCTTGATTCTGCGATTTGTGTTTGCGAGAGGCCAAATCCGTTTTGCAACAATTGAGGAGTGCCGCGACGCAGATAAGGAGTAAACGGCGACGGGAGGGCGAGAAAGCCGTCTCTTGCCTCCTCATTATTTAAATATTCTGACGACTGTGCTAAGCGGTCGTTATCTTTAGTGGAGCGTGTATTGATAACTCTTAGCGCCATTGTTTTATTGGTAGACTTGTTATCAGGACCGTACGTAGTTTATTAGGTTTTTTTCCTATATCTATGGTTTTTCTACTAACTTTAAGCCTATGTCATTGATTCGTATTTGTTATAAATCTTTTAAAACGAAATTCGATAAAATATATATTAATTCGATAGCCACCTCGCATTTTTGTAGTGAAGGGCTAGAATACAAAAATAGTGTTATCATCGAAAAAAATGTTTTCCCCCGGTTTTGCAAACCTAAATTCCCAGGAAGGACTTATGGAAAAGACGTTTAGTATACTAGTCTCAAAATTGCATAATAGTTTTTGATCAATCAAACAATGCTTAAGCTTAGGGCATTTAATAATGAAAATGCGTGGTGGCTCGAATTGTGTCCGGAAGTGTATTTTCTTCAATTATAATAATAAACTGTCCCCGTGGCCGAACGGTTACCATGCTGGTTTGCCACTTAGAGGTCCCGGATTTGATTTCTGGGCCGGGATAAATATTTGTATGGTTTACATTTATTTGTCTCGTGAGTTTGGGTGTAATTTGTGATTATTCATGAGTGCCCGTAGCACACGCGACTCGGTTTCCCTAGTACGAGGCTATGAGTGTGTACGTGTGTATCTATTTATTTATTAAAAAGTTTGTTGTTATTATTGTCAACGTAGCTGCGATTCTTACCTGCTCTTACCAACTGAGCTACTGATCGAGCCTATAAGATTTTGATGTAAGATATTTTTCTTCTCTCAACCTACCAGAAGGCTAACAGAGATGTAACTATGTTAATTGCAAAAGGTCATTCCAGCGAAGGTGACACCGTGGGGCAAAAAATAAATTACACAGTCTGCTATTAATTTTATCACTAGAATATGCCCAATGAATCCTCCCGTCACAAAATGGTGTCCGATCTTCCCGTCACATCTTAGCACATGAATAAAAAAAAACATATTATGTATTAAACAAACATATATCAATTATGAAAATCTTGCTGAACAAAATATTAATTATTTGTCTCAATCTTGGCAGTTAAGCCATCAACTCAAAAAGGCGAATTTCGTGGGCGTATCACCCGTCACACTTAAAAAATTAAAAGTTGAGGGTATAAAAATAATGTCATAAATTTATGTAAATAAATATTTGCGATTTAAATGCTCTTCTGGCTTCGTGATATTTTCATTTTAAATATGGTTGGGTGACACTTATTAACGTTTGAAAAAAAAAACGAGTCAAAATGTCCCAACTGACGGCAGTTTGGAATGGCCCAATAATTACTTTTAGTGAATATCATAATGTTTTTATCCGATCGAAGGATTTTTTTGCGTTTTCGATCTTTGTATCAATAATAATAACTAGTAGAATTTTTGCACAAACATCAATATTATGGTAGCAAAAACGTCTTGACAATTAATAAAAGTAAATATTAAAACGGTTGTACTAACTGGTTTATGACAACGTATACATTTTGTGTTTTATTGCTCCAGGCATAGCACATCAGTTAGCGGGTCTACCTAGCGGAGAATGGGGAGCTCTAGGCCGGCACTATCCTCCACCACTGTTGCCGACTCCCTCGCATTTCACGCCTCACGTATTGCCGCCGCACGCGCAACCTCCCCATATACAGCCGCTTACGGCTCTCGACACAGGTACGTTATGCCAAAATTTGTTCAAAAGCATCGTATAGTAATACTTTATGACATTTTTGTACCCTTAGATTGACCGTTATAATTTTGACAGTTTGATTAACCAAGAAAAGAGAAGAGGGCTCAGAAACAAAAAGTATATGTAGATAAAATTGTGAACCTAGAGTATAATTTAATATAAATTTGTGTTGTCTAGATATAGCGTCAGAAAACACGACGACGATGCACGCGCACAGCACAACGAGTCCAGCGACCTCTCGGCCTGGTTCACCTCAGGACGACGACATATCCGTGACCGCGTCAAGCAGCCCCCCGCCTGACGACCGACCTGGAGCTTTCACTTCAGTCACCAGAACTCGAAAGCCCCTCCAACCACTGCCTGCACCATCCAGTCTTTTCCACAGCGCTTTAGCCGCTCAGCTATTTCTCAATTCCCCTCTCCTCCCTACTCCTCCAGCTTGGCTGTACTCACAACTCTACGGAGGCTACGACTGGTGGTTAAGGCCACCTCCGCCTCAAGAAGACTCTAACTCAAGTCCTGACAGAGAAGAGGAGGCAAATTCTAACGCCTCGGGGAAAAAGAGACCAGCATCACCTGAGTGGAACGACCAAGTTAGAACGCGCAGCAAATCACTTATTACTTCTGATAAAAGACCCGTTGATGTCTGGCGTCCGTATTAGTCAGTTTCATGGCAAATACAGGAAGAAATAGTTTACGGTGTTCGGCTAGTGTACCGTCCTCAGTGTTTGAACCGTTATAAAGTGGACACGTCTTGGTAAACTCGTGTAAGGTGGCATACGAATTCGTTAGACTAGTGTACTGTCAATAGGTAGGTGTTTTTACGTTAGATAAAATAAATGTGAATTTCAAATCGTACGTTTAAAGAAATTGTTGACTGTATTATAAGATAATGCAAAACCTGTAAATAAAGTTACCGAAATTTTTCTATAAATGTGCGTTTTTGTTTCTTTTTCGAATTATCGGCTTTTGAAGTATGAATGACAATGAAAACATTTTTCACACGTACAAAAGTATATTTATAAAAATTATCTTATAAAGTACAATATGGTCTACAAATACACCATGATTTTATGTTCTCATTAGTGAAAAGGAGCTATATGAAATTGTAATATTTTGATGGGAAATCATCAAAAAAGCACATTGCGTAACATTGTCGTCTTCAGGCTGTTCATCTTCAAATTACGTTACACGTCCAAGACAGTCGCCACAGAACAATTAACAGCTGAAGAAACTGCGACAAAATTAAATAAATGGTTAGTTTTGGGTATAATTTTTACGTCGAGTGTACTACTAATCTTTATTGATCATCAATAATGATGATGATAATCAAGGTGATAATGATGATGGTGATGATACTTGTAATCCAAATTTAAGAGTTACTTACGACCCGCTCGTTAAAGACCAGTGAACCCTTTGACAGTTTAAATGCAAGAAGTATACAGAATGTAATAAATGATTCCAATATATCAATAGGATATTATCATATCCATGAATGACACTACAACTTTATGTCGTCTACACAATTCTATTGATATCGAAATGCATTCTATCTCGAAAAATGTAAAGGTTGTAGTTCAGTGTCAAAGACGCTATGAATTAGATGTTGATGCAAATCTGACTTACCTGCGGATTTTAGGTCCACGTATTTCATTAGTTCTATGAGCCCGTTGTAAATTTCCTCTGAAGTATCTAAAATGCCATGCGCAGGTAAGAGAAACCTATTTTCCTTGTCTCTTAACTCCACCATGTATGAGAATGGGATGTCCAACTCTCCATAACTCCAGTCGATGCTTGTGCCTGCCGCGTAATACATGAGGTCTTTTGTGCTACCAACTTTATAAGTTCTACCGTGAGTTTCGAAAATAGCCTGAAAAAAATAATATTTTAATACACAAAACCGATGTACTTGTCGTTGACTTCATACACTTAAACATTCACATTGATAGTATAAGTGGGATTATGATTACGGCTGTCGAAGATGAATGTGGTAAGTATGAGAAGAATGGTTGAGTCTAACCAATGACATTCTTCTAGAAGGTGCATTTTAAAGACCATCCTAAATTTTGGTCCGCACCATGGGAAAGTGGGAAGTGAAACAAATTTTAATGAGTATGGAATACCAACACAATGTATGTGATACCATGTCAATGGTTTTTTGAGTAATAAATCAGTTGTATAGCTACGCCGCTGATTCCTGTGAGAAGAAAGTTTTGAAAGTATTAGAAGTTAAATATAGTACCTTGGACATTAGAGTACCGCCTTCTAATAGGCTGACGTAATCTGGACAGACTTCGTCAGTGTGTCCCCATGGGAAGAGAATCACTTCACCGTAGCTGTGAAACGACAAGAAAACCTTGAAGGTATTAGCAGCTGTCATTATAGCATTCTGCAAAAGACATAAATAAAATAGAATAAGGTCAACTAAAAAAAAACTGATTCAGAACACTAAACTCTGCTTACTTTAATTGCCAGTGTTTCTGGCTCTGAAAACGGTTTCGATCCTCTGAAGAAAACGTTACTAGGTTCATCTGAAGAACCTTCATCTTTGCCCCAGCCGTAACTGAAAAAATATCGTAGTTCCAAATAAGTTTGATGAATTTTAGGATTAAGTGGAAAAAGCAATAAGTACTAATACAATTTTAAAATATATATCTACTACTTCATTTCATTGGTGTCCGTAGTTATTGAGCTTCTGACGTTCTTAACTAAAAGCAGATTGGTCATTCGGCTGTGCAATATTTTTTTTATGAATGTGTGGACTTGAATAATAACGCATAGAATGATAGTTTCATATCAAACGAACTGTCACAAGTGAGGCAAAAATCAAATTCATGTAGGCTAGTTTTAGTAGTAGGTTAATTTTCGGTTTTAGTGAATATTTATATAAAAATACAAGTTGAAACGCGTTACTGCCTTGTGGAATGTGATGTTAGTATCTATTTTATGTTTGCCTGACGTATTTTTACACTCATTTACCGCACATTTCGTCATTTTTAGCTAAAATTATTGATCTGTTTGCGGTGCAAGTTGACCTTGAGCACTGGAGGCCCGCCCGCTCGTGTAGGCCCTTTTGGCGCGCTTCAATTTGCCTCACTTAGCGTGTGCGGACTAGGTTTCTATGCGTTATTATTCTAAGTGTGTGGATACCTGAAATTTCTGTTAAGGTCGACGCCGACCGTTTTTCCGGTAATTCGCCGATTCTTTCGCCACATTCTGTCAGTAGTATGCGTAAATTCGTATCCGTCTGGATTTATGACCGGAAGGAAATACCTGTAACGGTACTGGAATTAAATAAATTTAATGTTTCTGATCATTATTGAAGTATTACGAATACAAAACATAAGTAAACCAATGGCTCAGGGATAGAAACGATTAAAGATTTAGCAATTTTATGTCATTGGCGCAGCTTAAAACTGATATGTAAGTTGCAATACGCGTCTACAGATGGGTTAAAGTTTTTTTTTACTACGGACCAGTCTTTATTGGTGAAGTACGGAAGATTATTTTTGTAGTTCTTAGTGATTTGGTCGGCGAGGTAGGTGACCACGGCAGGAGTAATCCACTCTCGGGCGTGGATGCCGCCGTCGATCCATACACCAACGTTGTCTCGATGCCCATTTGATATCTTCAGCATCTGATCGAATTAATAGAGAAGAAATTAAGAGAAATAATCCAAATAAGATAGTTGCACGTACTTAATTTTAATTCAATAAAAGCGAAAGGACGAAACAAATTGGAAATTTGAATAAAGTTAACTTTTATACCCTAAGATTTTCGTTACAAATCAATTTCACTTGATAGAAATTGAAAATGTGGACGAGAATAAAACACGCTTGTCTAGAAGATAACAGTTCATTCTACCTTTAAGAATATTCAGGTTACACAATTCAGGAATGCCGAATATGGCAAAGAGTTCTACTTAGTTGTACGCATAATGACCGTCAACCGAGTAAATCGCTTTGTATAAATTGATGGAATATCTAGAGAAGGATGAAATGTTACGCTGCGTCTAGTTGCCCACTTATTTAAAGGAATGAGAAACTAGGTTAACCCTACGATTTCGAGAATATGAAGAATTCTACAGGATATATCACGGAGACTGTGTAATGGAATTACACGATTTAATTCTGCTTTCTCCTTTCCGTTGCTGGGGGACTAGACGTAGGCTTGGGTTCCACCCCTGTGTTGTGGATATTATACAGATTTGTAGGAAGCGTTACGTTTTTGACATTTATGTGGCGAACTGCTATGGAGTGGAATTCTCTGTGTGCAGACTTATTGCCTGAACATTATAACCCGGGCCTTTCAAGGCGAGAGTGAATAGGCATTATTTAGGTATGCATGCTCCATCGTCGACCTCATCGTCACTTTCCGTCAGGTGAGATGCAAGTCAAATGCGCTTTTATATATTATTTTATAAAAAATAATAGAAAACAATAGGTTGTGATTGTAATTAAAGATAGTTGCACTAACCATTATAGTTCTGCCTTCAACAGATTTTCCAATTTCATGGACAGAACAAATATTAGGATACTCAGTAGCCAGATCATCCATAAAATGATAAATTATATCCAGCCGATGATACTGGTTCCAAGACATCTTCCGGTTATCTATTATACATATATGTCTTTAATTAGTGCACCTGTTTCTGAGAATATTTTATGATATCAAGTGAAGAGACGATGAGAAGTGATACGCCCACTCATACCAATTGCAGTGCCACTCAAGAACTTTAAATCGCAAAGATTTGAGGGGTACTGCCACTGCACCCATCATCCTGAGACATAATTGATCAGCACTTTACTCTTCAAAATTGGAACGGAGTAATGCTCACATGAGTGCTTGGCTGTGGGTACAGTACCTCAAAGGGCAATATCCGCCACGAGAAACTCTACTGTTACTAATAAATGTAGTAGTTAAGGGATTAAATTACTTTATTTTGTTCCTATCCAGCGCTAAAATGGATTTCATAACGATTGCGATGATAATAGTAACAATGTGTTACTGTACAACTTTAAGTTCATTTTGAATAAGTTACCAGCAGCGACAATTTGAGTTTGTTGAACTTGAATACAGGCGTGGACATCAGAAATGACTACTGTATAGGGTATCTCTTTCCCGTTGAGCTTTCTGATCACAGAAAGCGCGTTATCAGCTTCCACCTCGATGTCCATCACGTGAGTATCTTCCCTCCAAATGTTAAGAACTGCAAAAATACAAATAACCCGATAAACTAAATCCTTAAGGCTAAAGTTACATCGCAAACGTCAGTCACTATTGTAGCCTGGAATGATATGCTTGGAGCGCATATTTTTCGCAAATTGTTCATACATTTGATCCAGACCACTATTCAGGCCGTGATTTTGTAATTTACGTAATTAATAACAGTAACTATTTATTTCTTTCTTAATTTTGGCGCAGTATTTGTGGAGAGTAATGTAAAGTACGAGAGTAGACAGTATTGGGTAGGCATGGCGTAGGGTGGATATTTTAAGATAGTGAATGATGTAGACTAGAATGCTGCATTACCAAACATTTGTTGTTTAGTTACCGATACATTTCAAAGACAAAAAAGAGCAAAATAGGATATTCTAATAACCATCCAATTACAAATAGACAGAAATGAGATCCATCTTCGACCATGGAGTTGTAAAGGTTTGAACAAAAGATTAATGATTCACACTTTTAAGAGTTAAAGTTTGTTCACGAACAGAAATTACTTTATCCTAGGATGTCTGCTCACCTCCAGAGGAGTCCAAGGTTTTGATGAATTTTCTTTGTTCATCGTTTATTAATTTCACTTCCCAAACTTGAGTGTTGGATAGATCGTCTATAAGCGGTGCCATTTTATGTGTTTTATGAATAATTATAAAAAAAGATCCGATATTTTTGTATTTTTACTGATGATTTCAGGGAAATTGCTTGTTTACAGTTTGTTTGACAGATGATTGACAGAATGCTCTTTTTAATTTATTAAATCGAATAAAAGCTTTCTGGAATGCCTACTATACATTTTGTTGTAGTTTAAAAATATTTCTTCTATATTTATACTAATTGTTTCATTTTCTCGGCTGATCCCTTTCTTCTCTCTCTTTTAGTACTTATTCCCGTTTCCAAATTATCCTTTTATAAATGTCCCGGTTTTAAAGTCAAAAGTCAAAAACTTTGTAAAAAAGTAAATTTGAAACGATAATCGCGAAAAGCTAAGAATAAAAAACTACACGAAGACTTAGGGTCGTATTCTAGAACTCTACTCAATGCTCAAGTCAGGACTTGAGTATTGCAGTGAGCACTGAAAATCATACTCAAGTCCTTGCCATTAGGGTCGTTTTTCCAGTGCTTGAAATCATACTCAAGTCTGCTCAAATCCTGACTTGGGCATTGAGTAGAATTCTGGAATACGACCCTTAGAGTCTAGGAAAGCAGTGTGATTCGAGAGCACATACGTAAAAGTTAAATATTTAAAGCAACTTAGAGGCGAACAGACTTACAGCAGATCAATTACAGATAGAGTTTGCGATTACCGACAGAGAAGTTCGGTTGTTTCCACCTCTGGATGACGTGCACTCTGTCTCGGCACACGAGACTCTCGTGTAATAGTCTCCAATGGTGGCACCTAAGACAGCGGAATTACGTTCCAGTGTTCCCACCGAAAAGCGACAAGTCGAAACAACGTCAGGTTTTAGTCGGAATGTGTCCGATATAACCATTCGTTTCCCCGGAGGGTATCCTTGAGGATTTCCTGATGTTAAAAAAAAAGAATCTTTCCACTTCATCAGAATCAGCTACCTAGTGTTGGAACTATTGCGTTCGTATTAGAATTTAGAGAGTGATTATATTACCATGCAGTGGTGCTTTTGGGAATGGCGTAGCCAGGGTTTTCGGCGACCAATTTTATTTCTGGATAGCTGTCGATGAACTCCAACAGCGCAAACAAGCTGTTTAAAATCTCGTTGCCAGTCTCTTCTATCTCTTCACATGGCACCTTGAATCTACATTTACTGTTTTTGTTGTAATAGTCTTCAAGTCTGAAAATTCCTAAGCGTGCCGTACAAATCTGGCGAATGCGTCGCGAAGGCTCGCGAGCTGCATGCGTAAAGCAATCGGTTCGCGTGCCGTTCGCGCGCTATCTATGCTTGCCTTGCGTGAGATGTGATTAGAAAGGCCCACTCAACTACACGCGCGCATTGAACATGCAGCGCATTGGCCAAATTTGTGCGCATCCTCACTTAAAGAGGGACACTAAAGACAATAACAGGTAGGTATTGCATGTAACTTATCTGTTATCCTTAACATCAATGTACAAATTTATGTGATGTATTGAAAATGATTGTGGATTATTTACGAGTAAATTAAAGTTCAAAAAGAATAGAATCAAATTAGGAATGAATGAATTATATGAAATATTTTTTATTGCACATAAAATGATTTAAATATTAAATTATTAACAGCGGCCTTAATTGCTATGAAGTAATATCTTCTGGGTAATCTTAGATCCGACATTTTTGAGATTAAGGCTACCTTTCCACCAGAGATGTAGTGGCGAGGCGGTGCAAGGATGTGTAGTGGCACTGTGAAACGGTGTGATGTTTTACACCAACGCTGTGCGAGGATGCGTTACGAACTCTTTTCAGCTATGCGCGGGCTACGGTGTGGTCGAGTGAGCGGTGGCGATATGTCAGTATCAGTTAGTGTCATACTTTCAGTAGCTCTAGTTTCCTACACCCGTTTGCACACATTCCTCGCCCGTATCCCTCGCACACATTTCTCGCTATTTTGTATATATAAACACTTCGCTCGGCTAACCCTTTTCCCCCGAAGCTGCGCTAAGCGAACCTAGGAAAATGAAGTAATCCTATTGGCGGATTTTTTCCTCGCACACTGCTTCGCTACCTCGCACATCTCTGGTGGAAAGGAAGCCTTAAAAAGGGTGAATCAGCATCTGCATCTGAATACGCCGATAATCTGCTTAAATTAAAATATCCGCATCCGCATCAGCCTCCGCATTCATCGATACTGATATGTATTGCGGAACTTCGAGCCGTGATATGACCTAAAAGGCGCACGAATAATTTAGAAACCTCCCAGAAACAGAGGGTAAGCCGAAAAAGCAGCTCAGCTGCAAATGTAGCTTTGATAAAATTCCACAACGATTAAACAGACAGATTGATTCTTTTTTTATAAATATCACAACATCATTGAAATAAAATTTTATTACAATACCAAAGAAAATAGAAACCATTTTCATACAGATAGACTGATGTACATTTATGCTTTTTTTTTAATATACATATGAAATCAGCAACCTCATCAGCATCCACTGATGTTAAGGTACAAAATCAGCATGAAACCTGCATCAGCAACAACCCTGGTAAGTATTAACTGCACAGCCACATGACCCCGTTGTCACCCTGTATAAGATTAAATTTCGAAAATGTTGTTGCTAATAAATGCTATAAAGAAAATGTAGAGGAATATCACAACGGTACCCAAGTAACGTACTGTGCCTAAAGTAAAAATTCTCAATACAACATTAATGTAAGAAGAAAATAGAAATAACCTGTCTTTTTTGCTTCTGAGTTCAATGAGGTAGCAGTAAGGTATACCGACAACTCCGTGACTCCAGTCATTGCTAGTGCCCGATGCTTGGTACATCATATCTTTGGAAATGCCTACCTTGTATACTCTGCCATTAGTTCGATGGATTGCCTGTTACAAAAAAGTGTTCAGGAAAATCAAAAGCCATTTCGCAGTTTTATTGTAATAAGGCCAAATTTGCAAAAGGCCAATTTTTGAGGACAGACGTTTTAAGATTTTTTAATTATTAATAAAACATATTATATAATGTAGTGTAGTGTAGTAATGTAGCTTAGCCCGACATGCGTCCTAGAGACACGGTGTCCGTAATGATTCTGGACCGATGGTCGATTCACCGGAAATACAGCGGATTCTTTAGTAGCATTTAAAATGCAGAAGAGTCTATATAGATTTTCGATCATTCCATCATACAATGACAAATCGAGCTTAACGATTTAGTGTAATAGGAACTGTCGATAGGCGTTGACTGATCTCATTCTAATTCATCGACTTTAGGTTAGGCGGTGTGGTAACACCATTAACCCGTCACGCGTTCTAGAGACACACAGGTGTCCGTAACGATTTTGGTACTGTAGCGTTATAGAGCCACACAGCGTTTCTAACGTACAGCTGTTTTCGTCAGTTTAAAAAGTAATTAAATTATTATTTCTTTTATAAATTTAATTCTTGTTATGATTATTAATAAAGATCGAATACACAAAAAAGTTTCTTCAACCCGATGGGACTCGAACCTATTACCACACTGTATCGTAGCTCTGCTCTAACCAACTGAGCTACAGGTCAAGTTATCGAGCTCTCGAAATTCGCCTGTGCGTTTTTGTTAAAGATGGACATGATGTATTGGATTTTTCGGCATTCATCGCCGCTAGTCATCGTGAGAGACGTAACGGCACACTGGCGTTGCGTCGGTTTTGCGGCGTCGCAACTTTAACTGCCTCCGTGGCCGAACGGTTACCATACCGGACTGCCACGCAGAGGTCCCCGGGTTCGATTCCCGGGCCGGGGAAATATTTGTATGGCCTACATTTATTTCTCTCGTGAGTTTGGGTGTAATTTGTGGTTGTCTATGTGTGTGTCCATGGCACCCGCGACACAGGGTTTCCCTAGTGCGGGGCTATGTTGAGTGTGTGCGTTATTATTATATATTATTATAACTGCGTTGATTTGAACGAGGTGAGTGCCACACGAGCTATTCCGTCGACATTGTTTCAATGCATCGTGTGGCATGTCGTTCAGATTTATATGTGTACCAGTGGCAAGGCGTGATAATTTTTGTTAGTAAATCCAGTTAAAAAATCACCTACCTTAACAAAACTTTTTTCGTAAAAGGCGTACATAGTATAATAATCGAATTGGACTAAAGAGGTCATATACAAATAAATAGTAAAGAAAAAAACAAAAAATGTACTGTTAAAAAATCTTGAAAAGTAGTCTTGGCGAAACTTAAAACAACACTTATTAACAGACAAGACACTAGTAAAGTTAATTTAACTGATTCCATAACGCTAAATATAACATTTATTACTTTATTACATTATTTTAACAATGAATTACATAAACAAACTTTCATATCGCGAGAACTGCGACAAGTGAATCGAATTGTTGCCACTTTGAGCATTTCCTTTTGAGAGGAATATTAGCCGCGTTTGCAGGCGGACGTGCCTTCCGCAAATTGTATTAAAATTTTAATAACAATAAATTCAATAACTGTGTCAATATAGCTTCCGCGTAAATCTGTGTCAGCGCATGATGATCGTGCGGTTATTGGTGTTACGTTAAGATTACTATAGTGAATTTAGATTCTAAAATGGATAGTCCATTTAATCGGAGTACGATGACAACCAGAAGCTCATCCCAGAAACGACAAGTAGAAGAAGCCCCAACTCCCATACCAACAATTGAAGCAGTATCAACTGCAGAAATAGAAAAGTGGCTATCTTCAATCGAGCAATGCCTGAACGATATATGCGGCATTGCAAATGGTAAACTCAATTCAGAACAAAAACTTAAAATAAGTAGCATAAGCGTTATGGGAGGAGTTTCCCAGTTAGCCGTAAAATATCAGTTCCTTAAGCAAAAATACGTTTCATCTCAAATAATTATCCAGAACCACAATGATCAGAAAGGAATCTCTGTCCAAATTGAAGACCAACTTGAAGGTTTGAAAGAATGCATACGATCAGCTCCAAAGATAGCAGCACAGAATACATCTTTTGCGGACGTTGTTAAAAAGGGGTATAACTCAATTGTACGTCCACCAGCAGCATTATTGTTTATCCGACAAATAAAGAGAAATCAAGCGAGGACACAAAAAAGCTCATCCAAACCATAATTAAGCCCGAAGAATTGAAGATGCATATCCGAGGCATAAGGAAAACTAAGCATGGAGGTGTTATAATAAGCGCTGAAGGAAAAGATGACCTTGAGAAGCTGAAGCAATCCGAGCAACTAATAAATTCAGGGCTAAAAGTAGAAGACAAAATTAAAAGGAGACCAAATATAATATTATTAAGAGTGCTCACCTCTATTCCAGAGAATGAGGTGCTGGAGTGCCTATTTGAACAGAACATATCTGACAAATATTCACAAGTGCAACGCGATAAGTTGTTAAGCTCGATCAAGTTGAGCCACAAATCTGGTAAAAAGGACTCATCATATTGCAACTTTATATTAGAAATACCAGCAGATATCAGAAGCATGATCGTCCAACAGGAGCGAGTGTTTATTAACTGGACATCCTGCCCCGTTAGAGACTTCACGATCGTAACTAGATGTTACAAATGTCAGCAGTATGGGCATTCTGCAAAATACTGTCGAGATGCCGACTCCACTTGTGGTCACTGCGGCTGCGTAGGTCATCCAATTAAAGATTCCTCGAAACTGCAAGAACAACCTAAGTGCGCTTCTTGTCAGCGGTACAACAAGCCAGGCCAACACAAGACGGGAGATACGCTGTGCCCAGCGAGAAAAAGTGCTGAAGCTAGATATTTCAACTACATCGATTATGAGGGCGCCTAAAGCGACAAACAGTAAGACCATATAGCACGGAAATGTGTAATGTAACAAACGATTTTGTAAATGACATAGACTCTTCCTTAGAATATGAATCTTTTACGTGTGACCCTGAAAGATGTTCTACGCTTATTCCTAATATCAAGTGTAGCCATAATATTTTATCACAAAACATCCGTAGTATTAACTGTAATTTTAATAGTTTGGTAACCTTATTAAGTCAGATTAATATTGATATCGATATAATTGTATTAATTGAATGCTGGTTATCTTTTGCACCCTTCACTCCCCAATTATCTGGATATGACGCATATTCTAATAAAAAAACTAATATTTTACAAAATGATGGTGTTACCTTATATATTAAAAAAATATTACTAATATTATAACAGAGGAACCCGCCATTGTAGACGGTAATTGTCTCATTACGAAGATTGGAAACGATACCCCGATAGTGGCCATTTACCGTTCTCCTTCTTATCACAATATTACTAACTTTTTAGAGTCACTTGTTAATATTTTACGAAATCTAACCCCTTTAAAATATATATATGATTGGTGATTTAAATATGGACATTAAGTCGGGAAATATTGACCATAATTCACAAGAATATTTAACATTTGCAGCCTGCTTCGGCTATTTACCGACCCATATTCTTCCAACCAGAAAGGAAAATTGTTTGGATCATATACTCGCCAGAACTAATATACCCATGAAAACTTTAGTATTAAACTCTTCCGTGACTGACCATAATTCTGTATTATTGTGTCTGTAAAAATGTTATAATAAGTCTGACGTTATCACAAACAGACCACGCTGCAAAATGCCGGAGTGATACATGACCTAGACAACTTACACTTAGCGCCTATTTACGATACAAATGACGTGAATATATCAACAGAATACAGGGTCCGTCCCAAAAGTATCGAACATTTTTTTTGGGAGTGTTGCCGAACGGCGGGAAGCGCTCCGCTTGGCAACAGAAAGTGGTGGGGGGATCTAGCCGATACAGCGCGATCGGTCCCAGTTGGCTCCGAGCACCTGGAGCGGCAGGACGTGCGTTCGCGTAGAGCTCTAAACGACACCTCGTCGAAGTTTTTAAAAGTAGCGCGATGACGGATCCGTTAGAACAGAGGTACGCAGTGAAATTTTGTGTTCTACTCGGCAAAAATACTGTGGAAACCAACGAGATGATTAAACAGGCCTTCAAGGACAAAGCCTTGTCCGAATCCTCGGTCAGGAAGTGGCACAAGATGTTCCGTGACGGAAGGGAAGAGGTGACCGACGAAGCCCGCTGGTCCCGCAGCCTCCCTACAGTCCTGACGTCGCCCCGGCAGACTTCTTCTTGTTTCCCAGCATCAAGTCGAAGCTCAAAGGCAAGCATTGGGGCACAATTAAGGACATCCAAGAAGCTACGACGAGGGCGCTGAAGGACCTACCCGTTGACGTCTTCCAGGGGGCCTTCCGGGCATGGGAAACTCGCCTACAAAAGTGCATCGATGCTGAAGGGTGTTATTTTGAAGAGTACTAATGTATGGTACCGATAAGTTCAATAAAAGTATTTTTCCTGAAAAATGTTCGATACTTTTGGGACGGACCAGATATTTTATTTCTTCCTTAACAAAAATTATTGACAGAAATACACGTACCACTTTGTTATCACGACGAAATAAAATTATTAAATCATGGATTACTCCTGGACCTTTACGCTGTATAAGGTATCGTGATAATCTTCATAAAAAGTTAACGAAAAATCCCGAAAATGAAGTTCTTAAAATAACTTATTTCAGATATCGTAATTACTCTAACAATTTACTTAAGAAAGTAAAACGAAAATATGAACAGACAGAAATACAAAATGCAGGTTAAAACAAGAAAAAAACAGCGCCCTCCAAGCATGGCTATTTCGCGCTCTTTTACCCTATTTGATACTGACGAATCTGAAGTAGAAAAAAACATCATGACTCTGAAAAATGACTGTGCTACTGGAATTGACAAAATACCCTGTTCATTCATCAAGATATTCAAGCAACACTTAATACCACCACTTACGTATTTATTCAACCAGTGCTTTGTAACAGGAATATTTCCCCATATATTAAAAAAGGCCCTTATTACTCCGGTTCATAAAAATGCGGATAAGAGTTGCTTTGATAACTATCGCCCCATAGCCATACTTTCGTCTTTTTCTAAAATCCTAGAAAGACTTATCTATAATAGGCTAATAAAGTACTAAGAGAAGAACGGACTCCTGGCAACTACACAATACGGTTTCAGAACTAACAAATCGACTGACGACACAGTGCATGAACTGACTGACTACGTTGTAAGACACAAACATTAAAAAAAAAGAGCTTAGCCATATTCCTAGACCTCGCAAAGGTTTTTGATACAGTCTCAATTACAATCCTCCTCGAAAAATTATACTACTTGGGTATAAGCGGTCAGGCACATAATCTTCTGAAAAGTTATTTAACTGACAGGACTCAGCGCGTTAAGATACATGATACAGTAAATGAGGAAGTGATCGCCGAATATGGCGTCCCGCAAGGAAGTATACTAGGACCTTTGCTTTTTCTCGTTTTCATTAATGATTTATGCCTCCTCCCCCTACCAAACAATAGTAAAATAATATCTTACGCTGACGACACTGCTTTGTTATTTAGTGCCGAAAATTGGACTATGTGTCAGTCACATTAGCCCAATCGGGCTTTGACACAACTTACCGACCCTGAACACTGATAATACAAAATACTTGACTTTTTCCTATAACTCACTCTCCCAACTGACTTTAAAATCACATTCAATATTAGCGCATAACTGTTTTGGCTCGGTAGAAAGTACCTATATATGTCCTAAACTTAGCAGCACAAACACAATTAAATATTTAGGCATCACAATAGGTATTTGAACGTCAAGGCCCATATTGAAACTCATACGGCTAGAGTACGAAAATTAATTTATATTTTCAAAAATTGGTGGAAAACTGCTGAAAACTGTGTATTTGTCTCTTTGTCAGTCGTTATCTGTGTATTGCTTAACGACTTGGGGACACACATAAAAACACCTTGCTAAATCTAGAAATAGCACAAAGAGCCATTCTGAAAGTCAGCACATTCCGACCACTTCGTTTTCCCACTGCAGAACTCCTTACTAAATGTGATGTACTTTCTATACGTCAGTTGTTCATACTAATAACCGTAACAAAAAAACATACACTAACGTCCTATATCCCCTCACTCCAAACCAGCAAAAGACGAGCAGACATTGTTTGTACCACTGAACGGTTTCGAACTGCACACTCCCATAGATTCTTTCGCTTTCTTGGTAGCTTTTTTTATAATAAAATAAATCGTTTACTATGTATATATCCTATGAATAAGTTTCAATGTAAGAAAACCATTAAAAGACTGGTTAAAAGGATTAAACTACAATGATATCAAAAATTTAGTATCTGTTGTTACGTAACATTAATAATAGTTAAGATGCTAACTAATATAATTAGTTATTGAACTAAATATGTTGAAAATATGTTGACTAACCAGTATGTTATAAGCACTGATTTGGATACCTAAGATACAAGTAAGCAATTTTACTTAGTATAGGTATCACCTAGATTAACTTGCACTACTGAACCTTAATTAAAGTTATGTAAATAAACAATAATATCACTGTTTGCGATAGTCTGGCCAAAATATGTAAACAAAAGGTTATTTAATAAGATTCATGTATTTAGGTTAAATTTTTATACAGAATAAATTTATCTTTATCTTTATTTTTACTTTACTTTTTAATTGAAACTGCTAATTAACACGAGCTTCTCTTTCCTTTACGTAGGCTAGGCCTAGTAAAATAAAACACCTAAACAAACATTTTTGTAACGCTATTTATCGTTCAACATTTACAAAATATTAGTTTAATTTATATGTTATTATAATATTTGTCATAATAGTAAAAAAAAGGTTAGTACACTACCAATGTATGATAGCTGACTTGTGCGAATGTGTGCGTGAATTTTAATGTACGCGCGTAGGTTTTAAGAATGAAATGAAAGCCGAAAAACTACGGCTTAACTCGGGCTGTGATTGGTTAATAAGATTTATCGGGAAGCTCCGTATTATCAAGGACAGGTTACTTACTACACGTTTATTAATATTTTGAGAAATGTTTTTAAGTAGTAGTGTATGCGCGCTGTCTCGTACAGTGTTTTGATTATACGTGGAAAATTTTAGGCAAGTTAGTGGGAATGGAGTTATATGGACGCCTCGCCACTGAAGTGTACAACGCAGTTGCGACAACGCAACGCCCGTGTGGCATCTCACTAAGTGAAACATTCAGGAAACTATAAAATAAATAATAAAAATTTATTTATTTCCACAAATTACAAATAGATACAATAATACACGTAACGGTTTCAGAAAAAAACAATTACAATGAAAGTGGAACAGGAAGTAGCAAGTAACGACACTGACTCTTGAACTAGGTAAAAACCTGTATCTCAAGAGACAGAGATTAAAATGGATGAGTTCCTTATAATTATTTTAAAAATTAGTGAACATCGACGAGATAAAACCAAGATGAATAGAACTGCCTCCATGGCACAACGGTTACCATGCACGACTGCCGCGCAAAGGTCCCAGGTTCGATTCCCGGGCCGGGAGAAATATTTGTGTGGCCTACATTTACTTCTTTCGTGAGTTTGGCTGTAATTTGTGGTTGTCTATGTTTGTGTCCATGGCATTCGCCACACAGGGTTTCCCAAGGCTATGTTGAGTGTGTGCGTTATTATTATTATTATTCCTGCCATTACCTTAGACATAACTGTAGCTCCTTCTAACAGTCTAATGTAACCAGGGCACAAGGTATCGTTATCAGCGAAAGGAAATATTATGACTTCTCCGTAGCTATGAAGTGTGACGTATAATCTGAACTTTTTTGAACCAGAAGATATAAAATCCTGGAAATAAATGATAAATACACAAACCGGCAAATTTAGCGGAACACTAGAAAACATCGCAAAATAATTCAGTGTTGTAATCAAAAGTCTGGTCGGTTATCTTACTTCATTATTTTAGATAAGAAAAAATGTTGGAAATTTAAAAATTAGATTATTGTCACTTTCTTTTAATTTATTTTAAATTACCGCTAGTATAAGTTTGTCAAGTGATTCGAGGTAGATTTAGCGTTTATCTGAATTTCGTGTATTATTCTTTGATTTAATCTAATGTAAACTGTCATCATATTTATTTTTTTTAGTCTCTGTTTCTGCTTTGCACAAAATCTTAAAAAAAAAAAACATTTTACTAATTCCAATTGTTTTTGTATAAAGGTCAAGTAAGGTTGTACGAAGGCAATGTTAGAAGATGTCAAATAAATCGTTACTTTATGAAAATGTTTTTATTATCTTCCACAAACAAAAATTTATACATATATACCTATGGCGTTTACGTGTTATTCAATATAGTTTAGTTTGTGAAAGTCTGGTGTCCTTAATAGGCTTAACCTGTGTTACAGAGCACCCGGCTCTAAAAAAAAACTAATTGATAAAATATACATATATTATATCAATAAAAAAAAATGTGATGGACAGATTGCGGTAAAGTGTGAGAAGAAAATGTATTCTTTCACGCCAATGGTGTGAGCTTATACAGCTTATGTATAAACTCACGCCCTTGTTCCACAGCAGGTTTAGGCAGAGACCAAGCAACGTCAACTTACTCTATCCTGACACACTTTCGACCCTCACGTAAACATCTTTTATTCTTTTTGACGACCTCACTGATCTGGTAAATGTAAGTCGTTCTGTGACATCCTCTTAAAACCCTTCCAATCCACAATCGCGTCATAAATCCGTTTGGTAATTCTTCTTACATCCATTCGGTCTTCATGCCCAAACCACCTCAACATTCCTTTCTCTATTCTATTAACTACTCTTTAAAGCTACATCTTTCACGTATTATTATATTCTTCATTCTATCACTCAACTTTATTCCACAAATATGCGTGCGTGGAAGAAGATGCAAGATAAAGAGAGAGATGTCTAAGTCGTTTGAGGATGAATGAAAAAATGTTGACGAAAGAGATTTAAAAGGTGAGCGTGAACCAAGACGAACTTACGACGATCAAATAGTGAACGTCTTGAAAGATCAAAAATGCTACCACTATGAACAAATACGAAGTCATTGATTATGTGTTGATGAGGCGAAAGATGTGTGTCAGGATCACAGCAAGTGACGTGTATATAATAAAAAATGTAATAAAAAATATCGAAACGAACTATTTATATTTAAATCGAGAATAATATACTCGAATAGTATTTCACTTATTTTTATTTTATTTTATTCGGAACAACAACAGCTATTAATAACGATTTATATTGAATGTTTTTAGGTAAAGCTAGTTAGCGTCAATTACAGTTGTCCACATTTTCATTTTCAAATATCTAACTATGGTAAAAGTTAACACCTCAAAAAGAAAAGAAAACAAACACAAAAGTACCTACATTAATAAGCATATAATAAAATAAATAATATAATAAAATAAAATAGCAAAAAAGGTAAAGTAAATAGACACGAAACAAGAAAATAAACCAATTCTGTAAATGATACACTCAAATATTCTCAAAAAGGACTTTTTCCAATTTCCTTTTAAAAATGTGCTTCAATCCTACAAACGGATTAAGTCCAGCAGTATATATTAATTATACACAAAGTATTATTGATTATGTACAAATACTATTTGTATTTTTAAACAAACCTACATTTCGGGCCCTTTACACGACCTATGGCCGCGACTGAGATGATAAAGTCATGTCAAATATTAATGAAAACCACCCTATTTTTCTTGACAATAGATATAAAAACTAAAAAGTCGTTAAAAGACCAAGTACAAAGACACGACGCAAGCACATAGAAAAATTCATGAGGTCCGTTGGTTCGTTCCGTGACTTAGTTGGTATAGCGTCTGGCACGGTATGCAAGAAGACGTCGGTTCGAATCCGACCGGATCGAAGGAATTTTTTCTGAGTGTTTTTTCTGAGTGTATTAATAATTATAACTAGTGGAGTAATTTCACAAAAAATAATTGAATATCAATTCAATAAAAATTTAATTAATAGATATAAAAGTTAAATTATAGGTAATAGTCATAATAGTTATAAAAGGGCCCGAAACGTTGGATTGTTTGAAAAAACAAATAAACGCGATTTCGATCCGCTAAAATAGACTCATTTTCAATGTGTAACAATAGCGAAAACCCAAAAACTCAATAAGTATAAAAGTGGTCCTTGAATTGTTCCTTGAAATCTTTCTATTGTCATTAGTGTACATCATCGAGTATATAACCAGAGATAGAGACGAAATAAGGGCCATCGATCCCTGGCCACTCATCAGGCAAATGGGCCTTGCATCACTTTTAAATATCAAGTCTCGTTTGCACTGAAATTAGAAAGCTGAAACAGTACAGCGCCAACAACTGGCCTGTGTGTACGTCTCCGTTTATTCCAAAAATGTTCTGTATTTATTGTAATAAAGATAATATCTCTAACTATGGGGGAGCTGTTCCATTCGGTGGTGTGGGAAAAACAGCAAAACATCCAATTACAAATCAAACGGAATCATATTACATCGGTAATTAAATATTAAATATGTAATTTTGCAATTTTCGTCCATTACAGCAAAGCTCAAGTTATACCGGTCGTTTCAAGTGACACAATTTGACGACAGCCGTCAATTGTTTCGAGTTCGGGCTGGCCAATCAGAGCGCAGTTGTCATAGTAATGATTTGGCAGAATAGTTTTCAAACAAATTAAATGACATTTCGTTTCTATTTCTGGTTATATACTTGATGGTGTAGGTGGTCATGTTTATAATAACATCTATTAAGAATTTAAATATAAATAAACAGAATTTCAAACAAAGTTTCGTTGGTCTTTTAACATTCAATTAGTCTTTAATTAAGAGTTACGGACAGTAAAACAACACTCACTCTAATTGCACAAGATTCTGGTTCCGAGAACGGTTTGGAGCCTCGATAGAAGCTGTTATGTGGATTATCGGAAGAACCTTGGCCGCCCCAACCGAAACTGTATTAATGAAGTTGGAAAAAGTGTTAGAAAAAAAACATTGCTTTATTCGTATTACCTTTCGAGTCGAAGCGACACGTACAGCTATTTCTGACCAACGTAATGAGATTGCGCGGCAGTTGCTTTTATATACTCATGAACATATTTAGAGGAACCCTAAATAAAAGTTAAACTATGATAATAATGTACATGATATGAACCATTGGCAAAATACGCCAGTGCCTCTACCACGAATTTATAGTGAGAGATGTCGCTAGCGACCGCGTAAATTACTTCACAATTTTGCATGGTAAATTATACAGCGCCTCTGGCGGTCAGAAGAAGACACAACATTTTGTAAACAAACATTTTAGAGTGGTTACACACGGTAACTTTTAGAAGCGATGCAAACGCGCGACTGCATCATTATGTACAAAAAATCTGTATAGGTTTATTCACATTGTTTTGTTTTGTAAATTGTACGTTTAAAAGTGAAATTAATAAATACATCAAATTAGTAAATTAGTTAATTAACTTAAAACGTGCATCGCATTTGCATCGCTGCTTAAAGCCGCGCGGGTGTGTAAAGGTAGACGATTAGAGGCTGCATTGCTACTGCATCGCGTTTGCGTCGTTGCTAAAGTCGCCATATGTCACCGCTCGTACGCGGTTGCTAGCAATAATTTTCACTGTAATCTCATGGTAGAGGCACTGAACGTTTTATTTGAAAGAAAATCTTCAATCTTTTGATTAATTTGGCTAAACTTTGGTTTATAATGAACGTTGCTATCATTATTCAACCTTTTTCAGCGTCCTATTATATGGCCATGAGTACATATATAGGGTGCCCCACGTTTATACGACACGGAGGGAAAGTACATTAAATATAGTAGATGTTATTTTATGAACTGGAGCCCCATCTTGAATGTACGAATATCGGCAGAAAAACGCATTATTTAATTTTACTAAACATAAGTGGAAAATTTCATCGTGTTGCTTTAATTTATGATACTATGTTACTTGAAAGGAATTAATCCTTATAAGTGACTTTTTCGGTTGGCATGATAAAAATAAAGGTGCTTTTTTCCACATTTGCTCGGTTTGATTCCTAGATGAGGCAAACAACTTTTTAAAAGTATTTGAATGCAGTATTACTTACTTTTAAAAATAAAAATAAAATGATGTTTGCTTGAAGTAAATTATCCTGTACAATATTTAAAGTATTATTTAAAATATTATACCCATTATACGAGTAATTCCGAGCCTCACTAGCTCAATTTGTAAACTAGCAAAAGTTTGCGAACCGTTTTCGTCATGTAAGTTTCGCCGCGATGTTTCCCTTCGCCATATTATGAGCGATGCCACATGATGCGTTGCATCGGCGTGTTGCGATGTTCGGACAAATTAGAACTAAATGCGATGCGCGGCGATGAACGCAACGCTCATAAGACAAGGGGTCAGGAGGCGAAGCGGGGAGGGGTGCTGCGGAGCGGAAGTAAGCGGCGTTACGTTGCAATGCCTATTGCTCGTGTGGCTCTCGGTGCGTTGAAATAATAGTGTTGTGACGACGCAATGCAACGCCAACGCCACTCTGGCATCGCTCTTAACGACACCATGCTGCTGGACTAAAACAGGTTGTAGATTTTATACTTTTTCCAAGGGTCGTCAACCTCCTTCTGGATGTTTCTACGCGACATTTCCTTTCACCATTAGCGAAAGGTATTGGCTATTAAACATTCACAAATATACGCAACTTAGAAATTAAAGTTACAGATATGGCCGTCCTGCGTAATTGAACTACCGACCCACTGTTTTCCTACAGGGCTGTAACCGCTCATTATCGTTATAATAATGTTCATTCGGAGAAAGTATGTTGAACGCACCTGAAATTTCTATTAAGGTCAACACCCACACATTTACCGTTGACGCAAGCTTTGTTTTTGCGCCACATTCGATCCGTTGTATGGCTATATTCGTAGCCATCCGGATTTGCCACTGGTAAGAAAAACCTGCGAAAACACGAGAGCTTAAAACAAAGTTATAGTTTCGGAAGGTTTTGAGATGACTTAATTTACAATATTTATATATATATTTATATATGGCCTTTCGTGGTTATTTTATGAAAAAAAAAAATTGTTTTCTGTTTTGTTAAAGAGGTAAAGAAATCTTTTGTTTTTACTACAAGAATCATAACACAATTGTAGTGTAATTAATTGGGACAAACTAAGTTATAAATATTTTGTCTCAATTAGGCTTAGTTGGCATAACGTCTGGCACGGTTTGCTAGAAGACGTTGGTTCGAATCCAGCCGGATCGAAGGAATTTTTTCTAAGTGTTCGTATTCATAATTATAACAAACTGCTGAGTAATTTTACAAAAATAATTTAATATCATGGTGGTAAAAAATGACATTCAATAAAACTTAATTACAATACATTTATAGATATTAAATAATAACACTTTACCAATCTTTATTAGTAATGTAAGTTGGCAGCGATTTGAAATGACTTGCAATGTAATTCGCGACGTAGGTGTTCACTGCAGGTCCAATCCACTCTCGCGCATGTATCCCAGAATCCATCCACACTCCGCACTTATCCGCTTTGCTGTTTGAGACTTTCAATAGCTGCATGGTGTATAGGCGAAAAAGGAAATCAAAAAGATGTATTATAACGTTATTATAAAATTATATATAATAAATGCACATGAAATAAAATATGGATAACTCAAAGAGCAATGGAGAGGAGCATACTGAAAATAAAAGAAAATATAGAGTAAGCAATGTGGATATAAGAGAAACCACAAATGTCATCAATGCTTTAAAACACTGCATAAAATTAAAATGGCAATGGGCTTGCCACGTCGCCAGCATGGAAAATGACAACCAAAGAGACCAAAAGAGAGATGGGCAGATGAAATAAACAAAGCTGCTGGCAAAGACTGGATGGGAGGATGAGCAAGGTGAAAGATTAGAAACTGTGGAAATGGAGGAGGTCTTTACTCGAAGAGAGGTCCATAATAATGTTATAATTATTATTGATCATGAAATTCAATGCATTGAATTCGTATTTTATTATTATTGAATTTATGTATTAAGGGAATAAATTAAGCTTTAATATTATTATTACAAAGTTACAACAAGGCCACCCTTTGGGCCGCCGTTTTTCAAGGAGTTGGACATCAAATGCGCTCTTGTTTTGTCACCAAAAAGTTGCCAAGTGTTCTAGGTACCTTTTATTTAACCTATAGCAAAAGTCTCCCCGAAAATGCTCCACTGTGTCTCTACCATGAGATTACTGTGACAGTTGTCGCTAGCGACCGCGTAAAATGTTTGTATACAAAATGTTGATTTTTCATATGACCGCTAGAGACGCTGTTTAATTTGCCATACAAAAGTCTGAAGTAATTTACGCGGTCGCTAGCGACAATTGTCACAGTAAACTCGTGGTAGAGGCATTGCTACCTATCTTTGCTGATTTTCCACCACTCCCTCACAAACCCATCAAAATCGAGAAAGCAATGTTCTCGATCCTCCCCGTCGTTGACAACCGGGTTGTATTCAGTTCGCAACGCGGCTCATCCAATTCTATTTAAGCCTGGCTATTTTGCTCCCCTATTATATAATATATATTTATATTTTTATATATTTTATAATAATATATTTTGCCAGTCACTGAACGCAGAATTGTACTGCGCATTCGGTCAATAATCTGCGATGCGATTTCATGCGGCAAGGCAATCTCATTGCCACGGTTCGAGTAACCTTTCCTTCGACGATCGTCAACCGTAATGAACGTATGTTTTTTTTAATATATAATAGACACACGCTTTGCCACAATCTCACCTGGTCTTAAGGGACGATGTGACCGACATGATGTGATGTGAAGCGTTTGCCTAAAAAACGCCTATTCACTCTAGCATTGAATAGCCCCAAATTGTACTTTTCGGGAAGCACAGATAGAGTATTCCATTCGTTTGCCGTATACATCAGAAAGGAAGAAGCAAAGCACTTAGTGCGAATTGATGGAATATCAACGACATAAGAATGGAGTGCTCCGGACCTTCTAGACGACCGAAGGAGGTACGGTAAGGGTGGAACTAAAATGAAAAGTTCCTGCACACAATCTCCGAAATATATCCGATAGAAAACTGACAACAGGCTACTTTTTTGCTTTGTTTAGATTTAGTAGCTTCGAGTCCACAAGAAAATAGTTGCTAATAAGTCTCTTTGCTTTTAGCTCCACCGAGTCCAAGGCAGCTAAGTGGTAATGGGCAGGGCCGTCCCAAAGGTGGTAGCAGTAGTCCATACACGATCAAACTTGTGCTTTTATAGAGATTTAAAAGTTGTTTTTAAAACTTGGTAGCGACATGGATCGTAAAAACTCTGTTGTTATTGATAAGAAAGTGTAGGAAAAAAACACAAAGAAGATTCGCAAATGCATCGCATTGCAGTTTTGTGTTTCGACACTAAATCCCAGAATGGTGCTTTCCATTTAGGGTATATATGAATATTTTATATTTTGTCGAGTTATCAGGTTTTCGTGATATACCTTGGAAATGAAATTATTTTTTCAGTAAGCCGTGACTATGGGACCTGTAAATATTTTAAAACGTTGATTGGTGCAAAAAATAGTTTCATTGCCAATATTTCAATTTTATATAACATTATTAGTACGGGAAACAAAAGCTAGTGCTTTAGATATGTCGCACTGTCATTACAATAGTGTAATAACTCAGAATATGTGAAATTTAATATTATATCATTACTGAACGTAAAATTTGATACTCTACACGTCAAAAAAAAACCGTCCGTAGAATATTGTAAGAAACAATCAAAAGATATCTACTTAACTCAAAATGAGATACACTTTATCTGGGCTAGTTCTAGCCAAAATAATTCTTATTAAAAAAAAGAAATTATTATTTTTTTGTTTGCGGGATGTGAGTAATTCGTTTTTCATCGATTCTGAGAAAGTCCACTTTTTGAGTTCATACACTATTGTATTAACATTGCGAATCATTAAATATGATAATAAAACCTTTATGTCTCTCTTTTCAAGCGAACGTCCAATAACATGCGCAGAACAAAGGGTTGGATTTGCACTTTCTAAACAGTCCAGAAATTCGTGGATAACACTCAGTCGGTGGTAGTCGCTCCAAGTAATTCGTGACCCGTGAGGAGCCATATTTACTACAAATATTTAAAAAAATATTTATAAAATGAATACCTACGTACCAATTATTAAGTAAAAAAAGGCATATACGCAATTAGTATAGAGCTTGGTACTTTATTCCCAGAAAAATTTTACCCGACTCAAATGCTTAGCTAGATATAAGCTTGAAATAAAGATCTTAACAATATAATAAAAAAATAACATTGTGACCCACATTTTTTATTTATTTATTTAAAACTAAAGTGTGGTACATTGGTTAAATTAATTACCAGCAACACTGCGATAGAAAAGAAACCCCCAAAAGTCAGCAACACATAAACGCCAAGATATTCGAAATCTCAATTCCAATTGGCTAGTTAAATTGTAACAAGAATGACATTGACATCTGATCTGTCAATATTTTTTATGGCATTGGTCACTGCACAATAAGCCAAAAAATTTACATAAAAATCGATTTCGTTTCGTGTGATTGTGTTCCGGTTTACTTGACATAGTATTAAAAATCCCTAACGATTTTCTGGAAACTGCAGGTCTAAAATAATTTGTTTTTAATTCAGACTTTCTAGATTTTGAGAGCTCTTAACAAAAAACCAAATAATAGCCTGGTTAAATTTTCCATATATTTTAGCACCACTAAAGGAACAATTGCTTTGTTGCTATTTATTCGCTATTCCTTTCTTGTATGCATCGAGTATATAACCAGAAATAGAGACGAAATAAGGGCCATATATTCCTGGTAACACATTAGCGATACAGCTCTTATATATATCAACTCTCGTTTGCACTCAAATATAGACAGGCCAACCACTGACCTGTGTGGAGGTCTCCGTATATTCCAAAAAATATTCTGTATTTATTGTAATAAAGATAATATCTCTAACAATGCCGTGCTGTTCGGTGGTGAGGGAAAAATAGCAAAACATTTAACAAACGGAATCACATTTCATTGGTAATTAAATATTAAATATGTAAGTTTGCAATTTTCGTCCATTATAGCAAAGCTCAAGTTAACTGGTCGATTTGAAGTGAAACAGTTGACGACACCCATTGACGACACCCGTCAATTGTTTCGAACTGGGGCTAGCCAATCGGGGCGCAGTTGTCTCTAATGATATGGCAGAATAGTTTTCAAACCAATTAAATGACATTTCATCTCTATTTCTGGTTATATACTCGATGCCTGTATGTCATCATCATCATCATTCAGCCATACGACGCCCACTGCTGGGCATAGGCCTCCCCCAACGATCTTCACGACGATCGGTCCTGCGCTGCCCGCATCCATCGGCTTCCCGCGACTTCCACCAAATCGTCGGTCCACCTGGTGGGGGTCTACCCACTGAGCGTCGTCCGGTGCACGGTCGCCATTGAAGAATCTTTCCACTCCAACGGCCATCGGTTCTCCTAGCAATGTGCCCCGCCCACTGCCACTTCAGCTGAGCAATTCTTCGAGCTATGTCAGCTACCTTAGTTCTCCTACGGATTTCCTCATTTCTGATTCTATCACGTAGGGAAATACCGAGCATCGCTCTCTCCATTGCCCGCTGAGTGACCTTGAGCCTTCTTATGAGGCCCATAGTGAGGGACCACGTTTCTGATCCATATGTAATCACTGGCAACACACACTGGTCAAAGACTTTCGTCTTGAGACATTGAGGTAATTTGGAGGCAAAGATTTTTTGTAGTTTCCCAAACCCGATGCCTGTATGTATGGCGCAACGATAGGCGAGTACCTTACGTCGATTGGCAAATCTCTTGACACTATGGCAAGCATTACAGTTAGGGCTTGCAATATTCGCTCATTTTTGATATTCGGACAATTCGAATAATATTAAATCTTTATCCGAATAAAACGGATAAAGCGAATATTTACTACATCGGTTTTTAAAAAAAACAGTCAAATATTTATAACAAAAATAAAAATAATCAGTTGATATCGGACAATAGTAAGTAATACCAATTGCCAATTATTGTAACATATAAAATATTAATGGTATTGTAAACGAAGTGAAAGTTTTTTTTGTTAGGGTAATCATTAGCGCGTTTGCGCAGTGTATCCAATTCTTATTCGTTCCAAATCCGAGACTATACAAGTCTAGAAAACTCAGACCCACTTCGGATGTCGCTTGTGCATTAAGTCCGATTCATATCCGAGAAAAAACGAAAATCGCTTGTACACTTATAAATAAAATTATCCCTGTGACATTTCGGACCGTCATTTCTAAGGTTCGGAACGAATATGAATCGGATGCAGTGCGCAAAAGCGCTTACAGTAAGTAAGTTTAGCGTATTATATTGACTGTCAGTCAACCGTGACCATGGGACCTGTAAAGTGTCCGAAATGTTGGTTTTTTTGAAAAAAGAAATATACGTGATTTAAATCCGGAAAAACAGCTTCAATTCCTATCTTCTTCTTCTTGGCTTGTCGACTGTGACGTTTATATTTGTGAGGGCCAATACTTAGCGCCTGAGATAGCATTATCAGTGGCATTGTACAGGTCCTCGCATGTGCAGGTAAGGACACGCAGGCCAGGACAAAAGGTGTGCCATTGTGGATGAGACACCACCCGTGCATGCTCTCCTTGCTTCGGCCGACTTGGGTGCGCAATCTATTTAGGGACTTCCAAGTTTGCCAAGGTGGATCATGGCCAGGAGGGGTGTGTTCCGACAGCGAGATGAGTGACGCCGTGGGGTATCTCTACTTCCGGAGACTTATTCAGGCCTGCTCAGTTTACCCGACCAAAGGGTATACTTCTGTAATGAAGCTATGGTGACTTTTTAGCCTCTGGATTACCGGCACATGATAGTGTAATGGGGTTCCAGGGAGCTAGCCACGTCACAACCAGTAATAATTTGACATTTGTCATTTAGTGCTGTATTCACCAGGTGCGTATGTGCTGATCGACTCCAGACTGGGCTGGCGTATTCGCCTGCCGAAAAGGAAAGGGCTAGTCCGGTCGTTCGCAAAGTTTGTGGAGACGCTCCCCACTTACTAGATATAAGGCGGCGCAGGAGGTTGTTCCGAGTGGTTACTTTCTGCTTGGTGTTAATACAGTGCTGTTTATAGGTTAAGGCTAGAGCCTTAACTTGAGCTTGGATAGACCAAGGTAATACCGAGGTATTTTGGAGTGGAGCAGGGGGCAATCGGAACATCCCTCCATCGGATGTCGAGCGACGTCTGATCCGTCGAAGCTCGCGGTTACGCAGGTGGAAGGCGCAGGACTGGGTCTTTGACGGATTCGTCCGCAAGGAATTTTGATCATAGAAGCAGCTAAGCTAATGTCAGGGCCAGATCGTCAGCGTAAATGAAGCGTTTGATGATTGATTAGTGTTTGATGCATGAGGCTGATCGTTCGTGTAGATATTAATTAGCACTGGAGCTAACACACTACCCTGGGGAAGGCCATTTTTTAGGGATCTCTATCAGCTCTTTTCTGAAAGGAGGTGGAACTGAAAGCGGCTAAATTCCATTATTACGTACTATTCGAAATATTCGAATTATCCGATTCGTGACGACTGCAAAATCCGAATACCAAATTCGAATAAAACGAATATTTGGATATGCGAATTTAACGATACGATATGAAGCAGTTGCTACTTAATGTTAATGTAGTACTATAGACAACACAAATACTTTACCATTCTTATAAGATTTAGAAAAAGGTATTATAATTTTACGCTGTGATTTTGATGTGGTCCACGGTCGTATCACCTCGTTGCGGTTTTCTTTAGAAGATATTGTTTTTGGTATTTGTATAAGTGGTTCTTGAGGTGCATGAATTGAATAAAATTTATGTTTACGAGTGCACATGTGTTCCGACGTGGACTTGCTCCGATTCTGTGGTATCGGACGTAGATTTGTATTTATGGATGACCCGTGACTGTGCTTTCGGTCGTGTTTGTACCCATAGGGACACGAAGCGGGCCGAACTTCTTCGTCGTGATAATGCCCATGTGGACATGTACACGAAGAAGGTCGTAATGCTTCATCATGATTTTGTGATGACCGTACCAATTCTTTTTGATTATGTCCAGCACAAGTGCATATAAAAGAAGATGTAATCTTTCGTTGTTTATCTACACCATTAAACAAGTCTTTTTTTACTTTGTTTGGGGACTCGTTCTTAGTATTGAAATCAATGTGTAGCGTCGATTTTGTGTAGCGATCATTCGCTCTACGGGAATCACGCCGACAACATTCTTTTTGTCGATAATTTTTCATTTTGAAGACACTTTGTATTATGGGTCAATTTATATACGCAAAATTTTATTATTCAACGAGTTTTATTTGTATGCTTACTGACTTTTAACTGTACGTACTTCTTGAAAAATTACATTTTTATTTCGATTTTTATAATTTTTTTAATTTTTAAAATTTTTTATGTAAACACTGACAGTGTTTGACATTTTGCTCACATAGATTTTTTTTTAGATTAATGGCTTTACTAAAATTTATTTTATTTATGCAATATCTTTTCTACTTGTCTATGGTTTATCATCACACTTTGGGGCCAATCTAAATTGTTTTGCGGTCGGTGTACGGTGTGCAAGAAGACGTCGGTTCGAATCCGACCGGATCGAAGGAATTTTTTCTGAGTGTTCGATCTGTGTATTAATAATTATAACAAACTAGTGGAGTAATTTCACAAAAGAAAATTGAATATCAATTCAATAAAAATTTAACTAAATTGTTTTAATTTTACGTTTTGTGTATAGTATTTCCGTTTTATAATTCGAGATCATTTTGACGATTGGCTCAAAAGGACAAAGTAACCAAAGCCGTAAAACCATTAATAAAAAAAACACTCCAAAATTCAGACGAATAATTTCAGCGTTTTCTGACTACAAAACAAAAGCTTTCTATTTTCGTAGACAGTTTTCTCGGTGGCTTAGCGGTTTGCACTGTGGGTGCTGGATTAGAAGGTCCCGGACTCGATTCCCGGTAGAATCAATTTGGGGAAATGAACCTTTTTATATTGGTTCTGATCTCGATGTTCTGGTTTGAGACCAGGCAATTAGCGTGGTTATCTGGAGCATTATTATTTAAAATAATTAAATATATTACTCATTATTTAAAATAATTAAATATATTACTCATTATTAATAACAATTAACAATAATTAATTATTGAGACGCTATTCCCCGGAAGTGACAGTCTGAAAAAGCAAACAAGACAGCGCTAGACCACCGTGAGGTTCTGTTCAATAAGGTTGAAAAAGGTTAAGGTAACGTTTGAAAAATACCTATTGATACATATGTTTTATGAATAACGTTTTTTTAATACCTATAAATACTTAATGCTAGATATTAAATAAAGAAAATTTTTTTTATTAATAAATTTTATTATTATTAATTTACTAAGCTATCTATCGCTAGACCTCGCCCAGTTGGTGAGTTGCGCTGCCCGGGTACCGGACGCTGACGACCACATACCCAATTGCCTGGATCTTCTGCTGACAACCAATCCAGACCGTTATCAAGTATCGGTCTTATCCCCACTAGGGACATCCGATCATTTTCTGGTGAAATCTGTATCTGTCTACTCCCCACCCGATCTCAGTAGGAGAGTTATTAACCGCTCACGCGATGCGCTCATCCTACCGCAAAATGGCGGCTATTTGGTTTCGCAAATTAGAAAAGGATTCAGTTTAAATATAAGTTTAAAAAAATTAAAATTATTATTCTGCATTGCTAAATAAATACCCTCCGTACTACAACAAAAACATCTCAAATAAAAAAACTTAAAAAACGCAACTTGCGGTACGTTTTCAATAAATAAACACCGACATCACCAGCCCAAACAATAACATACACGATTGTCGTGACGTATTTTTGAAGTTGTTTATTTTTTTTAAATGACAGACCCAGGCATTAAAAACTTTATGGTTTGCTAGAGTAGTTACCGAAATAGTAATTAGTATTAGTTCTTTTACCTGTTATAACTTCGATATCCGATAAATCGGTATAAAATCATCACCGGCACCTCTAGGTGTGGTATGCTTCCAGAGACGCATGAATCGCGTGAACGGCTAGCAGGAAGTGGCGATACAAGTCAGCAGATTGGGATGCGATGCGGCACTTCTTTGCATCTTATCCTTGGCGGCAGCTGTGTGTCTCTTCTGACGATCCGACGTGCTGCGCGTCTGCCGTCTCTGAGGTGATTATTGGGCTATGGAATACTTTATTCCGTATTTCGATGTCTCCTCCAGCGGCAAAGCTCGCCCTTGGTTTAACGCTGAGTGTGCTTCTGCAGAAACGCTAAAGCAATCTGAAATCGTCGATCGGAAACCGTCCGTCTGAAGAAAGTCTTTAATAAAGCCGCTAGATCCTGCAAAAAAGCGATACAGAAAGCTCGCTTCGGCCATATTAGTCGTATTGGGCCAGGTTAGCTTCATATCCATCAGAGAGTAAAGCAATATGGTCACTCTCTAAATCGGTCGAGGCGAATTTCTGCAGGTCATCCCTTCCGCCTTTAATGAGAGCCAATTCTCTTTTTTAATGAGAGCCAATCTCTTTGATTCTCTCTTTGCTTCCAACTTCCGCCTTGACGCTACTTTGCAAACACCACCTACACTACCTCGTTGTGACTCAGAAATGCCGAAGGTCACTATTCGTCACAAAGAGATGTTGAAAACTTTACGCAAATTAGATGTCAACAAAGCCAGTGGGCCTGACGGGATCGCAACGATTGTTCTGTGGAACTGTGCACCCGAGTTGTCTTCGGTGTTGACTCGCCTGTATCGCCTCTCTATGAGTTCTGGACAATTCCTGAAAACCTGGAACCTTGCAAATGCACAGCCTGTACCTAAGAAAGGTTGTCATGCCAGCCCAACTAATTATAGATCTATCGCAATCAGCACCATACTCTGTAAGATTATGGAGCGTATATTGAACAGCCGTCTCCTTGGATACCTCAAAGCTAACGATCTTCTCAGTGATCGACAGTATGGTTTTCGCCGTGGTCGATCTACTGGGGATCTTCTTGCGTATGCTACACATTTATGGGGCGAGGTTGTCGAGAAATGCGGTGAATCACTTGCCGTGTCTCTCGACATATCAAAGGCCTTTGATAGGGTTTGGCATGATAGCCTGTTAAATAAGCTTCCAGCTTACGGAATTCCTGTTGGATTTTGCACATGGATAGGCGATTTTCTGAACGATAGGTCATTCCGTGTAGTTGTAGATGATTACTCGTCTGCTCCTCATGGTATAAATGTACCTCAGGGATCTGTCCTCTTCGCCACTCTATTCTTTCTGCAAATCAATGACGTGTTGAAGATGCCCGGTATCTTTGGGTACGCACACACGCACACGACAGCACAGTGGTAGAGAGTTATGTGCCAGATGCCCGAGACAACAGCGAATAGATCTGGTGTAAACGAGAGGCGTCACCCGGTTGAAACTGAGCCTGAAAGCAGTTTCCGACAAGGGAGACGCGAACAGGGTCAGGTTTAATGTAGCTAAAACACAGGCGTGTCTTTTCTCGTCAAAACGGAGTTCTCGATACCTTACTCCGACTTTCCGAGATCTATCCATGCCGATAAGTGGACCACCTTGAGCTGCTTGGTCTGGACTGACCATCCAACCCCAACTTCGGGCGATATATCGATTGGTTGGCAAAAATTGCCGCCAAAAAACTAGGCATACTTTTCAAGGTCAGGCGGTACTTCACACCTTAACAGATTTTAAATCTGTATAAAGCACAAGTTCGATCGTTTATGGAGTACTGCTGTCACCTTTGGGACGGCCCTGCCCATTACCATTAGCTGCCTTGGACTCGGTGGAGCTAAAAGCAAAGAGACTTATTATCAACAATTCTCTTGTGAAAAGTAGCCTGCTTGTTGGTTTTCTATCGAATACATTTCGGGGAGTGGGCGCAGGAACCTTTCAATTTAGTTCCACCCTCACCGTTCCTCCTTCGGTAGACTTCTAAACTAAAAGGTCCAGAACACTCCATCTTTATGTCGTTGATATACCAGCAATTCGTACTAAGCGCTTTGCTTCCTCCTTTCTGATACGTGCGCCAAAGGAATAAAATACTCTGCTCTATCTGTGTTTCCCGAAACGTACAATTTGGGGCTATTCAAGGCTAAAGTGAATAGCCAATATTTAGGCAAACGCGTTCCATCGTCGGTCACATCGTCGCTTAACATCAGGTGAGATTGTGGCCAAGAGAGTGTCTATTATATATATTTAAAAAAATCCAACAGTGTGATAAGTACTCCGATACAGTAGTACAAAATAATTGGTTCCTAAACTCTATTTTCCTATACATACAACGAAATTAATAGTACCTCGATAGATTACGAAATATTAACTACTTATTTGGTCTGGCCGCAAAGCAGGACTCTCATGTTGCGTCACTTTGGATTTGGAAATACGTGATACACTTTCAAGAAAGCAATATTCCCAAAAAAACCTACCTAAATGCTACTTTTCAGATAGCAAGTGTAGTTATAATAAATTACCATTCGTTTAGAAGTCATTAGATGTAGGTTGTGGTCCGGCTGGGGAGTATGCTCTGCAGCGAGTCTACCTAGTGATTGTAAATTTTAACTATGCGTAGATATATTTAAAAATAAGTACCATTAATCTACTTCCCGTTGATGTATTTATTTATCTTATTAAACTGTTGATTTGTTTAATATCCTAATACCTTATGTGGCGCGGCCAGGGAGTATTTGTTTGAGAGTTAGAATAGCGGGTATATCTTAACGTATCTTGACAAATTTAGTATCAAAAAACGTACCTAAATTATTCTATTTAGTACCTGTCTTTAAAAAAAATAGTACCTCTATCAGAACGAAATTATAGCTAGAACCATTATACTAAATCTATGGCTACATCAAATGTACTTTCATCACTTTAATGTCGTAATTTTTCTTTTTATAAATGAGTATAAATGAGTTGATAATGATGGTGTATTTTTATGTTAGTTTAAAACTTACTATAATTTAAAACCGGGTAGGGGGTAGGGTGTCCGGCTTTTTTACCAAAATGCCAAATGCTGAACAGGCTGATCTGTACGGCTGTTCGTTTTAAAATCCTGGCAACCCAGCGAATATACATATCATATGAATGTCATGGCGATCTCGCGCGGTCACGACCGCGTAACTGTCATGGTAAAGTACGCTCTATTCGTGTAGCTTTTACGTTTTAACTTAATGAGCGTCCCGGCTGCGCGGGCGAGTCTTATTTATCTTTGGTATAAGCGGCGACCGCGCGGTAGTGTTATTCAGAGGAATTTAAATGTTATTACCTAGACTATAGAATCCAGATTCGCCACGAATGTACGTGAAAGCGTGGTAACTGGGCGGTCACCGTGTAGCGGCCGCGTGAAAACTTACGCTCCGTATATCTGGGCGCTAAGGGTTAAAATGAAAATGCTGAGCCGTTTCTATTAAGTATAATATTTAAAACATGTTCTAAATTTTATTTCAATATAGCGGAAACAAAAAGCGTGATTATATAAATCTATATCATTAATTATATCCATTTATATCAGTCAAACGTAACCGTGGGCGCTGTGAAGAGCCCGCAACGTTTGAAAAGACAATTATACTCGATTTAGATGCGATAAAAATAATTTCATTGCCAACGTCTCGCAATCGTGACAACCTAAAAACTCGACATATGAATCTATTGACACAGATTTAAGGGTACTTTCAAATTAGACGCTTATAGAAACACTACTGCCGCACTACTACTAATTTTCATACAGTATTTAGAAGCGCAGCTACGCAGCTTTCGCAGACTACATGTTGCATGAAAATTTGTAGAGGCGCATCTACAGCATCACAGACGCGCAACTGCAGGGCTTCTATGTTCTGTTTTTTTTGAATACGGAGTAAAATGACAGTTTGTCCGCTTGCAAGCAGCTAGTGATTGCAATCGATAAATATTCTGTCGATTATCGACTGACGCTTATGCAATAAATAGCCCAAATTGTTTCATTTGAATCATCTTCGGCTCATTATTCGTACAACCGGGCACAGGTTCATTAAAATTGTTAATTTTTGTAAACTTATACACACATATACACTACATTTAGTAGTATGTCTATTAAAAACACAATCAGGAGACATATTTTAAAGTTTTTCATTTCATTTAATATACATAATCTAATCCGCCATTTCGATTCTAGTAGGCCAATTGTTAAAATAAGAATAAAAAAGGCAGTAACGCAATTAGTATAGGTACACCAGAATCTCGTGGCATTAAATATTAGAATAATCGAATGACTTTCACCTGGCAATGTTAACTTGTCACATGACACTTCGAAATATTACTTGTGTCAAAGGGCTGTCTACTAAACTTTTTTCACTTGAAAATAATGATTTTGTAGCAACAATTTTTAAGAATCCACTTAAATATCAAGCAAAAAACATTGCGTATGTTTATCGATAAATCAGTGACAAATGAGGTGCTTTTAGGTCACAATTTACGATTTACAAGCGGGTCTCTAATCTTGCCGATTGCCATGAGTAAATAAACTTGATCTTTGAAATTTTAACGAAGCCATATCAATGTATGTGGTATGTAATTTTTTTTGTACTGGTCGGCAAGACTTCAGTAGACAATGATTGGCAAAAAAGATGATTGACGTAAACACGTCAAACTGCAAACGTAAATAACTATGACACCACAATGCTTTTAATATATTTTTTGTTTAATTTTAAAATGTGTCAAAAATTACTTACCTTTCTCATACACAAACTCATACAGATCTTAAAACATGTAGTAGATCTAGTAGATCTAGTATATTTTTTCCTACTTACTATATTGATGTTAACCACTACATATTCAAATTTGTCTAAGAGCCATCGAGACTCTGGCATTTACATTAGAATGTAACATTTACAAATCAAACATTTTCGGCAAAATTTTACTTTCTCTCACAATCGATGGATAAAACTGTCGACAACAACTACCACACAACGACTATTCAAAATTTTATGAAAACTGGCAGCTTAAAAGACAGACTATACAAGCGTCTAATTTGAAGGCGCCCTAAGAGCCTACGCACACAGCGTATTTTATACGCGCCGTATTATTACGGCACCGTAAACGCGCGTCATCTGTGTGTATACGCGCGTCACTTGTGTACGTACTTGTATACGTATACGCGCCGCAGACGCGCTGTAGTGAATTGATTCAAACGCACGCAAACATCGCGTTGCAAGCAAGAAGATTTTGTACTCCACTGGAGTTTAAACTTAGAATTTCACGTAGTTGCTTCATTTAAGAAATTAATTGAATTTAACAAACAAAACTAAAATCTATCTTTTATCAAAATACACACGCGCGTTCACAGCGCGTCTACGGTGCGTGTACACGCGTTTACGGCGCGTATAAAATACGCCGTCAGCATAGGCTCTAAGGCCACAAATTCGTAACAGCAGTTCTACACACCCCTGCAAACCCTGAACGCCCGGCTCCATTCCGAACTTGCGGCCTAAGACTTGTAACAAAATTAAATTCCTTCAAAACGCAGTTATTTTCGAAAACCGACACCTCACATTTTATATGAATAGATATTTCTTATACATTATACTGGGCTAGAAGTAACGACTAACGCGGCTTTGCTTTTAGATCCTGCCTGTGTGCCTTTGTTACGTTTGTCCACGAACTTCATGAGATTTAATACCCCGTTAAAAATTTCTAACGAAGTCTCTAGAATCTCTTCCGCGGGCAAAAGGAATCTGTTCTTTTTATCTCTTAACTCCACCATGTAAGAGTAGGGGATGTTGGCGACGCCGTAACTCCAGTCTATACTCGTGCCTGCAGCGTAGTACATAAGATCTTTTGTGCTGCCCACTTTATATATGCGTCCGCTCGTCTTATTAATAGCCTGTGAAAAGAAAACGTTGCTTAGATAGATAGATAAAACGTTTACTGTTTTCCCACAAGCACACACAATTATTTGAAATAATTAATACAAGAAACACACAAAACAGAAATCAAAATTGACTGAGAAGAAAACAAACACCATAAATAAATAATTATATTCCATAAGTATATGAACCTAACAGATTATTTGTTATACCTATATAATAAGATAAGAATAGTTTGTATGTGCTGCCGTGGTAGCCGAATGGGAGTTTCTCGGAAGTATGTGCGACATTTATTAATTTTAAAGGATTATTAATTTTATTAACCTCCGTTGTAGAAAGTGTTAAGAAATGCCGATGTTTTTTGAAAGCGAACTTAGATTTGAGAAGCTAAGTGGTGGTGGAATATTATTCCAACACTTGATAGCGGAAGATTCTGGCGAAGGCCACAGCCCGGTGAATTAGACTCAGTGATTAATCATTTTAAAAGTTATCGAATAAAACTGGTCAGAAGTTTTCAAAACCGTACCTTAGCCATTGCTGTACCACCCTCCAACAGTTCGACATAGTCAGAACAGGGATCTTCAGTATAGCCCCACGGGAATATGATAACTTCTCCATAGCTGTGCAATGACAGAAATACCTTGAAAGTTGTGTTAGCTTCCATGATAGCCCGCTAAAACAAATGGAATATTACACTTGCGTAAAGTTCCAATCTATAATATGAAATAAGATAGATAGTTTGCTCACTCTAACTGCTTTTGTCTCAGGTTCTGAGAATGGTTCAGGTCCTCTGTAGAAGCAGTTACCAGGGTCACTTGATGAACCTTCTTCACCATTTTCACCCCAACCGCAGCTGAAAAGATATAATTTAGGGCTAGAGAGAATTGCTGCATCACCATTCGACATCAAATGAGATTGTAAATACGATTAAGAGCGCCTTCAAAGTAGAATCGCTGCTGTGGCGAGAAAATGGTGCGACAGCCACGCGTTTGTCGTGCTTTGGTCAAAGACAAACCCAAATAATAATTTCGATACCTCTCACGTAAGTTCTTGTAAGTCAAAATACCATTTTTTGCAAGGCAATCACTTAGTGTTATGTTTACTTTCAAACATGGAACCTATAATAATGTATAAAAAAGGATATATCGATCAATCGCTTTCTAGAATAGTGGCCTATCTCAAAAAGCATTTCATTCATCATGGAGATGGCTTAATAAATCAAAGACCATCGCAATGTTGAGAGATTATCCTAACCAATGAAAAGTTTGAAATCCCAATCACAATGAAATTCCAAATAAATCTCAAAAAAGATCAATTTTGGATTGAGCCACTATTCGTGATAAGCAGATTTAAGTTAAAAAGCAAAAAATGGTATTTCAACTTACAACAATTTACATAGGAGATATCGATTTTGGTACTTGGTACTTGGTGCAACGGGCTGGTATCCGCAACTCGACGACAAAGCGCCTATTTTGCGTGTGGGAGATATCGATTTCTTACATACGTAAAATTTTTACACTTGAAAACGTCGTTTTTTAAGCTACTGCTCGTTCGGTGTGCTGACTTCCCTAAGAAGAACGAGCAAGAAATTGTAGGGATTACCTTTTCAATTAACTAAAACTTAAATAAAATACACTTTGAATCGTACTGCTTCTGTGGTCGAACGGTTACCATGCCGGACTGCGACGCAGAGGTCCCAGGTTCGATTTCCGGGCCGGGAGAAATAGTTGTATGGCCTACAATTATTTCTCTCGTGAGTTTGGGTGTAATTTGTGGTTGTCTATGAGTGTGTCCATGGCACCCGCGACACAGGTTTTCCCTAGTGCGGGGCAATGTTGAGTGTGTGCGTTATTTATTTAGTGTGTGCGTTATACTTCTTTCCATACATCTTTATCTAAGCAGTAATTGTGACTGCAAAAGTGGCGAGCGCGTGTTATGTCGTAAAAATTTGTAGCGGCGCGTCTGGTGCCACTACAGCGTTTCTATAAGCATCTAATTTGAAGGCTATTTTACAAGAAAAGGAAGGAGGCTGCTGAGATTCCTGGAGGACCCTGCACCCACCACACGCAAAATAGGCGCTTTGTCGTCGAGTTGCGGATACCAGCCCGTTGCACCAAGTACCAAGTACAAGAAAAGGAAAAAAAAATACACAATATTTCTTTGAACTTGGAATGAATTGAAACTGTCTTTAGTAATGGACAATCTTCGATAATATTGATTGTTTCTGCCGTCAAACAGTAATGCGAATGTCAAGCGGTAATGTGACCATTACTGCGTTCCGGTTTTGATAGGTAAGGGCTATGGTGAAATTCCAGGTGTATGGGACTTGTCAACTTATCGTCGTAGTGGCAATCCCCCATATCTTTGCGATTAAAAGCTGTGAGTGTTATAGACCGGCGTGTAGCTTACCACCACGCCAAGGCTACGTCACTTGCTCAAGGTTACGCGGTAAGTGCGCCGACGTCGGCGCAAGCGCTCATACAAGTCTTTCATTTATGAGCATTCGGCTCTGCACGACTGCGCACGGTGGGCAACGTTATTTTCACTTCTCATTGCGCGTGCTTAGGTTCCGTTTTGCTCGTAATGAGCGACTGGTGTCAGTCAGATTTAGTAGGCCATTATAGCCTAGGTATTTTTGATTTTGTATGAGAGTGATGTATCTGTTAAGTAGTAACTATTAAGTAATCTCTGACCAGGCGCCACGACTTGTTAAAACTCGTCGTGTTGTTGTATAAAAAAAGTTTCCAATCCCTCTCGTGGTGAGACTGTATAGGCTAGATACCTGAAATTTCTATTAAGGTCAACACCGACGCACTGCCCGTAGTGAGCGCGGTTCTTGCGCCACATTCTGTCTGACGTGTGCGTGTACTCGTAGCCGTCTGGATTCAATATTGGGAGAAAATACCTGAATATAAATTACAAAGCATAAACCTTTTGTTTGGTTAATAGCATTCAGAAAATAAACAAGTATATTTTTTTTAATTAAAAAAACTGACATGAAAAGTTTGTGGAATTACATCTATTTGCCAATTTACAAATGCGCGAGTTTTCGCGTAACATACACACAAAAAAAACAGTTGAATTGAGAAGCTCCTACTTTTTTGAAGTCGGTTAAATATACTTTTTGGTATTGGTTATTTTCCGAAAAAATCCACATTTCTTTCTTCCTTTAATTGTTAAATTAGTCTATTACGTCCCACTGCAGGACTAATGGCTCTCCCCTCGATTTCCACAGATCCCGGTTTGACTTAATGTCAGGCCAGTCTTAGTATTAGTTTTAGTAGCAGTAGAGATCCTCGTGAAAGCGTTAGTCCAGGGAAGTATCTGTTTTTGCCGTCAAGCTGTCATACCGCGGTTTTTTAAGGGTAAGAGTGCTGAAACTACAGGCACATAGGACTTGTTAATAAATCGTCATCATTATCACATCGTACAAAAAAATAATAATTAACTTGTCCTAAACTGTGATAACTGTGTGCATAACGCTTGTAGCACGAGTGGTAGCCATCGGGGAGGACGCGTGCACGTTTGAACTTACTACGTTACTAACAACTACTGATCTAAAAAGTGTCAAATAGTACAATACAAATTTAAAAGTTAATTTTTTGTAAATTTATAGTTTTGAAAAGTCATGGAAGAAAATTTGTTGTTTATGATGTTAAAAGAAAATACCTGCGAAGATGCCAGTAGTTTACAAATAACCCTGTACCTAATTATCACTTTTCCTCAGGTGAGATTGAGCTCAAATGCGAACATATAGAAAAAAAACAAACCAGTCCTTGTTGGTGATATATTCCGGCTGCTTATCGAAAGTTCTAGCCAGACAATCGGCAATATACGCGACCACCGCTGGGCTGATCCACTCCCGCGGGTGGATAGCTCCATCAATCCACACACCATCGTTGCTGGTCTTGCCATTTGATATTCTCAGCACCTGAAAAAAATTAGTAAAAAAAGCAACTTCAAAAATTTGTGGAATTACGTTTATGTACCAAAGTTTTATTGAAAACTGGGGGCCCACCATAATCTTTCCAAAAACAATATTATTTCAATGTATGCTTAAAGTAGGCTTATTATAATATTACTCACAATCGTACCATGACGAACCTGTCAACCAGCAATGTATTATTGCAAAAGTAATTAAAAGAACGAATGATTTCCCAATATTGTCTATTCCTTCCGCATTTTCATGAAGAAATAAATAAAACAAGCTGAGTCTTGATAGTCACGTTGTGAATTCGGAACTATAATCTAGTGTCAAGTGTTAGTTTCGCCATGGAGCATATAGATGGCGCTGTTATAATTTTACGAAATAAACACCGCGTATTTTTATTTAACGAATAATTATTTACTATATGCTATTATATAAAAAATAAACAAAACATTGACGAGATATATGTAAATAAATATGTTCAACTCAATCTTTAATCATTACAAATCAATATTAAGACAATAAAACTGAAAATAATATTGTTTCCATTGCATCCGTTTTTAAGATTGCTAAATTTGACAGCTCAGTCACAAAGCTGCCAATAAAACATTATAGTTGTAACATTACAATAAGCTTACTTTAAGCGCGTTATGGTACGAAAATTCAATGTAAGGTTAAAGTTATATTGTTTTAAGAGGTTGTGGTAGGCCCCCTGTTAACGGAAAGTTGGTTAAATCCTATAAAATGGATTCATCCCCTTATTTGCCACCCTTAAATGGTGGGAGATTTACTTAAAATTTGAATGGGACCACTATGAACGTACTTTCATTCCAACAAAAGAAGAATCATCGAATTCGGTTTACAAATATATTAGAGTACGTAATCGTGTAATGTAGACAAAAAAATACAGTCAAATTGAGAAGTCGGTAAAAATTGTCGCCATTTTAAATTATTATTACTTCAATGAATATTTCATCATAGCTTTTTCTCTTAAATGATATTACAATGAAGTTGATAAATAATTGGTAAAATAATATCCTCGGTATAATAAAGCCGTCAAAAGTGTCAAAAGTGCTTTAATCACATGTAAAAATCATAAAAATACGTGAAACAAATCCAAACCAATATTAAAAAATGTAAAAGTAACTCTGTTACCTTTTCACGCCTAAACCACCGAACCAAATTAAATTTGATGAATTTTGCTAAAGAGACAGATGGGTACCTTGGTAAACGACATAGGGTCCTTTTTGTCACAAAAATAAATCTTAAAGGGGGTGAAATAAGGGATGAAAGTTTGTATGGGGAACAAATGAAACTGTGAAAATGAATATGTTACAGTAGACTACTCGGACTACTTACTCCCTTTCGGCAGTTTAGGACCACAATGAAAAATGATCACAATTAAAAAGGACGACTTCTTGAATTGACCACGTCTTACATTGACCACTTCTTGAAATAACCATTTCTTGAAATGACAATTTTATTTTTTAATGTACGAAGTCGTCAGGTACTTAAAAATGTGATTTTTATAACTCTCCTATTTAAACAAAAAGAAGCTATCTAGTAATTTTGTTCGTAGAATCCTTAAACCTCTGTCCTGAAAAGTTTTTTTTTAATATTAAATAAAAAAAATATTTTTGTTCTTTTCCACATTTTATAGGGTAATTAAACTAAGGAACATCGTACAGTTAAATTGTGAGGTGGAAGTCTGGCCTAAACTAGGTTGGATTTGTACTATAAAGTCACCAGGTATCCACCACCAGATCTCAATGATACAATATTATGATGTTACTGAAAATACTCAGACATTAAAGCGTGAAACA